CAGGGACCAATAGTAAAATGTAAGTCATCTCATAAAGTCACCAAAACAATTATTGGAAGAAGGACTGAATTATGGTGGTATCAGCTTATCGGATCTGCTGCCCGGGAATGTAGTTCTGCCCAGTCATTGAGAAACTGGGCCTTGATATACTGTTGCTATCCAAAGTTAAAATTAACTTTAAACCTAGCCCTAATCCTAAATAAAATCTTATTAAAGATAAATATTAAAGATCTCATTTCAGGATCCAGAAAGAAATAATAAACCATTTGATTTGGTATTATTGCCCCAAAATCCACAGTTCACTATCATGCAGAATATGTTGGCACTTTATAAATGCTGGTAATAAATAAATGTATCCTCTCTCTCTCTGTTATGCCTGTGGTTTGTTTGTGCCAATGCTGCAAAGCTGATCATGATGTTAGAACAACGACAAATATCTATGCTGTTTGCTATCTAGCGATATCAAAGGCTTTTATCATTTCCCAGACTTGTACTTACACATCTATTTTCTTTCAAATCTCTTCTTTCTAATGATACCAAAGACACAAATGCTCTCACATATCAAAAATAGAAACTGTAGACATTTGCAAAGCAGGAACACAAGTAATATTTCTCAAATAAAAAAATACATTCTCAATCAGCAGTGTATAATTATTTTACTATGTGGCAATAGAGAACTGTGCATTTATTAGGATCACCTATAAAATAATCTATCCCTCCTGGCAGAAATAATTTGCATATAACCCTGCATCCAGGGCTCACGGGTGGTTAGAATACAAGGAAACAGTGTCCTTACTTGGCTTACAAGATTGTTACCAGAATTACCCCAGCTAATAGCTAAACACCCAAATAAGACACAGACAACTGAGTTTGACGTACAAACATTGGCTACAGGGTTATAAACTTGAAACCAGCATTTAACATCAAATATTAACTTAACATGCTACTGACTGCTGTCTAGGGCACAACAGGTAGTTCGTACATATTTCATAACTTCCCTCAGTAGCCAACGGAAGGGGGATTTTACCGGCAGAGTAGTCACCCCCTCCACAAGACTGGCACCTCTAGGCAGATGCCTACTATGCCTAATGGGATATCCGGCCCTGCCAGCAAGAAGTTCAAGCCTCCATTGTGTAGTGCAGAGCAATCAGGTTCCTCTCTCAAGTAAGTGTGAGGTTTTTGGTTGTACTTTATGTAAGTCCACTCACCAAGTTAAGCAATGGTAGGATAAAGAATTCAAGCAGGAATGTAGGTGCAGCATAGACAGCATTAAAGGAACACAGCAGGGTCAGGAACACAATGTGTATTCCTGACCGTATAGTGTTAAAACACTATGGGGTCTAAGAAACGCACCTTTATTCAAGCGCAGTGTGGGACTGCAGGACTGCGGTATTCAACCGCTTATAGAAATGTGGTTAATGACATTTACTGTCCACACAGGAAAAGTTGTGCCAAGCAGCAACCTAATCCACAGAAGGGTTAATGCTGATCAGCAATTATGCAAATGAAACCTGGTAACTGACTTTGGGGTCAAAGGCCGGTTACAGCCTATCAGAACTAAAGGAGGGGTATTTAGGCCCAGTTCTCATCCTGCTCAGTGCCCTGTCGTGGTTTCCCTTGTGGTTGTCCAAGAGCGCGTTCCTGTTATTAGTTTTCTACCTGTTTTTTAACTTCGGCTTTGTTTATTGACTTCTCTATATTCTGGTATCCTGACTCCTGGCTTTCCTCATCGCTGCGTCCCTTTCTGTGTTCCCTGACCTCGGCTAGTATTTTTGACTATTCTATGTACGTTAAATCCAGCCATACGTTACTTATTTGTCATCCGTGCTATATCAAACAGTAATCCTGACATTACGACAGGGCCATAGATCCTGTAGAACTGTGTCAGCACATAGCTGCTTGCGAGAGGAAATTAGAGGAGAATGATCACCGCATGGATCAATTCGCTCAGGCTTTCAGTACGCTTCTCGCTAGAACGGCGCATCTGCAGCCTGCAGCGTCTCCTTTTATAGCACCTCTACCCTGTGTACCTCCACCCACTGTTAATAGGACTCCTAGCATCTCCTTATCGCCATCCCTACAGTTTGATGGCAATATCCAGGAATGCAGGGGATTTCTTAATCAGGTGGAGTACATTTTGAGGCCTCACCAGGGTCGTTCCCCACGGACAGAGTAAAAATTGGTTATCTAATGAATCAATTAAAGGGCAAGGCCCTTGCCTGGGCTAATCCATTGTGGGAGAGTAATCGGAGCATAACTCAAAATTACCAGGAATTCCTTGCCGAATTCAAGCTCACGTTTGAGCCATTGGGTAGAGAGGATGACGCCTCCACTGCCCTAATGCACATCAGACAAGGTAACCGGTCTATCTCGGATTATGCTATTGAATTCCATACCTTAGCTTCCGAGGTAGACTGGACTAACAATGGGTTAATCTCAGCATTCAAAAAGGGTCTCTCAGAGACTATACTAGATGAGATAGCCGCTTAATAATTACCTAAGAGTCTTAACAAATTTATTACGTTTGTCAGGCATATTGATAATAGGTTAAGTCTCAGAGAAGTCACTAGAAGCAAGACCAGACGTACAGCTATGTCCCTAGCACCTCAATTCTCTAAACCTGTTTTGTCTAACCTCCCTGTACAGTCCGAACCTGAACCTATGCAGTTGGGGGTCACTAGACTGTCGGAGGCCGATAAACAGTATAGGAGAAGGGAGGGGTTATGCTTATATTGCGGTAGAAAGGGACATATGATAACTAATTGCCCAGTGCGTCCGGAAAACTTCCGCACCTAAGAACCTTAAGGGGACAGATCTTAGGTGTGATGGAGTTGTCCTCTAACAAAAACAAAAGTAGATTCCTCCTTAAAGTATCTATTTCCCTTGATAACAAGAAGTTTTCTTGCAGTGCCCTAATGGACTCAGGTGCTGCTGGAAATTTTATTGATGTCCAGTTTATTAGGGGTAATGAGATACCGGTCAGGGAGAGACCTACGCCGCTAGCTGTAGAGGCTATTGATGGTAGACCACTCACACAACCGCTTATAACCCACAAAACTGTCCCTATTACGATCTCCATTGGGGCCTCCCATAGGGAGGAGATGACGTTTCAGGTTATTACTTCTCCATCATGTCCTATCATATTAGGGTTTCCGTGGCTGAGTAAGCACAATCCCTATATTGACTGGGCTAATGGGGAGATATTAGAATGGGGTAAAGAGTGTATGGGGAGATGTATAAAACCAGTACTAAAGAGATTGGATACTATTGACCTTCCCACTACCACTCCCCAAACTCCTAGAGTTCCCATACAATACCGAGAACTTCAGGAGGTGTTTAACGAGGCTCAATGCGATGTATTGCCTCCCCACAGAGCATATCACTGTTCCATTAACCTGTTTCCAGGCGCTATGCCACCTAAGGGGGCAGTTTGTGCCTTATCTCCCCAGGAGAGTAAAATAATGGAGGAATACATCAAAGAATCCTTGAGCAAAAGGCACATAAGAAAGTCATCCTCACCAGCTGGTGCAGGATTCTTTTTTGTTGAGAAAAAGGGTGGTGAGTTACGCCCTTGCATAGACTACAGGGCACTTAATAAAATCACTGTAAAAAATGCATACCCTATCCCACTCATTTCCGAATTGTTCGATAGACTTCAGGGAGCTAAAGTATTTACTAAGCTTGACCTTAGGAGCGCTTACAATTTGGTTAGAATTAAAGAGAATCATGAGTGGAAGATGGCATTTAATACCCGTAGTGGACACTATGAATATCTGGTAATGCCATTTGGGTTATGCAACGCCCCGGCCGTATTCCAAGACTTTATAAATGATGTACTCAGGGAATTCATTTACTCATTTGTCTTGGTTTATTTGGATGATATTTTGGTGTATTCCCCTGATCTTCAAACTCACCACTCCCATGTGAAACAGGTTCTGCAGACGTTGTTGAAAAATAAACTTTATTGTAAATTAGAAAAGTGCATATTTGACCAGCCTGAAGTCCACTTTTTGGGTTACAACATCTCTGCATCGGGATTTCAAATGGATCCTAAAAAACTAGAGGCTGTACTACACTGGCCATTACCCTCTGGTTTAAAAGCCATTCAAAGGTTTATTGGTTTTGCCAACTATTACAGAAGATTCATCAAGGGATTTTCTTCTGTAATAGCCCCCATCACTAATATGACTCGCAAAGGGGTTAGTAGCACGATATGGTCCAAAGAGGCTGTGAATGCTTTTGAGACTCTTAAACAAAGATTTGCCTCTGCAGACATACTAAAACATCCCAACACCAGTAAACCTTTAATATTGGAGGTTGATGCATCCGAGCCAGGGGTAGGGGCTGTTCTCTCTCAGAGAGAAAGCCAGGGAACACCATTGTATCCTTGTGGCTACTTCTCCAGAAAGATGTCTCCTGCTGAGCGCAACTACGATATTGGCAATAGAGAACTGTTGGCCATTATTCTTGCCCTCAAGGAGTGGCGACATATTTTGGAGGGTTCCAAGGACCCCCTGTTGATCATAACCAACCACAAAAATCTGGCATATATAGGGGATGCCAAACGTTTGTCTTCCTGACAGGCTAGATGGTCACTGTTCCTTTCACGTTTTAACTTCCTCATTACTTATAGACCTGGTTCTAAAAATACCAAGGCTGATGCCTTGTCCAGGCAATTTGATAATGAGTCCGCTCCGGAACAGGTGACCTCTCCTATTATTCCACCAGAGTGTATTATTGCTACTACTGTCCTCTCACTGTCTTCTCCACTGCTTGGCACCATACTGGAGACCCAGCCTCAGACGCCCAGTGGTAAACCGTGTGATAAACTGTTCGTTCCCCTATGTGAAAGGGTTAATATCATGAAAGTGTTCCATGACAATATAACTGCTGGACACTCGGGCATCAATAAGTCCACTGACGCGATCACTAGATCATTTTGGTAAGATTCACTCAGGAAAGATGTAAAGGAGTATGTGCAGGCATGTTCTGTGTGTGCAGTTTCTAAGGTGACTCATGCACTTCCTTGTGGCCTGTTGCAGCCTCTTCCTGTTCCTGAGATTCCATGGTCCCACTTATCCATGGACTTTATTGTTGAGCTTCCTAGCTCTGCTGGGTTCACTACTATTCTCATGGTTGTAGACCGATTTTCTAAGATGGCTCACTTCATTCCTCTCAAGAAGTTGCCATCTTCGCAAGAATTGGTCCTAATTTTCATACGTGAAATTGTCCATTTGCATGGCATCCCTCACAATATTGTGTCTGATAGGGGCTCTCAGTTTGTGTCCATGTTCTGGAGTGCGTTCAGTAAACAATTGGGGATTGATCTCTCCTTCTCCTCCTCCTACCATCCACAGACCAATGGTACAGCTGAGAGGGCTAACCAGTCATTAGAAGTTTATTTGCGTTTTTTTTATTAATAGCACACAGGACAATTGGTTCCAACTACTCCCGTGGGTCGAGTTCGCTAGAAACAATGCTGTTCATGACTCCTCTGGGCACAGTCCATTTTTTGTCAATAATTTTAGGCATCCTATGGTTCTCCCTGCGGTATTTTCTGATACTGCCATTCCTGCCCTGGATGAGCGTCTGGCCTCCATTCGGGATACCTGGGTTAAGGTTCAAACTGCTCTAGGGGCTGCTGCTGAACGCTTCAAACATTTTGCTGATAAGCGTAGGAGTGCCAAGCCGGTGTACCAAGTGGGGGACCGGGTTTGGTTGTCATCTCGCAACATCAAGCTTAAGGTCCCTAGCATGAAGTTTGCCCCCAGATTCCTTGGTCCCTATAGAGTGCTTCGTAGGATCAATCCAGTGTCTTACTCTGTGGCTCTTCCTGCATCTTTAGGGATTCCCAACACTTTTCATGTGTCCTTACTCAAACCTCTTGTCTGCAATAGATATACTGTTCCTTGTGTTCCTCCCCCTCCGGTGGTGGTGGGTGGTCAGGAGGAGTATGAGGTATCTTCTATCGTGGATTCTAGGTTTTCTCGGGGCACTTTACAGTACTTGGTTGTTTGGAAAGGTTACAGTCCTGCTGATCGTTCTTGGGTTTCGGCTCCTGACCTGCATGCGGGCCGTAAGATCCGCGCTTTTCACGCCAAATTTCCTCTCAAGCCTGGTCCTGTCCGCCCGGTGGGCGTTCTTCAGGTGGGGGGTAATGTCACATATTCATCCGCTTATAGAAATGTGGTTAATGACATTTACTGTCCACACAGGAAAAGTTGTCCTGAGCAGCAACCTAATCCACAGAAGGGTTAATGCTGAGCAGCAATAATGCAAATGAAACCTGAGGTCAAAGGCTGGTTACAGCCTATCAGAACTAAAGGAGGGGTATTTAGGCCCAGTTCTCATCCTGCTCAGTGCCCTGTCATGGTTTCCCTTGTGGTTGTCCGAGAGCGCGTTTCTGTTATTAGTTTTCTACCTGGTTTCTTACTTTGGCTTTGTTTATTGACTTCTCTATATTCTGGTATCCTGACTCCTGGCTTTGCTCATCGCTGCGTCCCTTTCTGTGTTCCCTGACCTCGGCTAGTATTTTTGACTATTCTATGTACGTTAAATCCGGCCATTCTAAGGACCGGTAATATGTTACTTATTTGTCATCCCTGCTATACAGTTCTACGTGCTGGATCAAACAGTAATCCTGACAGACCCTACCCCTGATCTGCCTTCTTGGCTGAGATGATGATCAAAATTAACAATCTCAGCCAATCCAATGCTTTCCTATGGGAAAGATTGTCAATGCTGATGATCTCAGCCAAAGAGGCAGGGTAGGGGGTCAAACTAAATGCAGTGCTAGCTAATCAGAATCTACTCATAGAGATGCATTGAATCAATGCATCTCTATGGGGAAAGTTCAGTTTATCAATGTAGAGCAGCTCTGACCCGGGAAGCACCTCTAGTGTCTGTTTGAGTGACTGCCACTGAAAGTATCCCTAAGCAGCAATGTAAACACTGCCTTTTTTCTTTTTAAAGGCGATAGCATCCCAATGCTTTTCTTATGTAAAAGCATTGAATTGACTGCCATCATCAACTTTCATGATTTTAGTCAAGGGGACGAAGCTAGGACGAAAACTTGTGCGGCGCTGGAAAAAGGTGAGTAAATTACTTTTTTTAACAGGGGTGGCGATAACCTAAATGACTAAATTCCTGACACTTTAGTGTTTTTCTACATTCCATGTAAATCGATAAAGTGCCTCTAGTGTCTGTCCAGAAGACAGCCACCAGAGGCAGTCTTAACCCTGCAAAGTAAAATTGCAGTTTCTCTAAAACAGTAATGTTTTACATTGCAGGGCTAAGTGGACAGGGGCACTGCACACAGACCAGTTCAATGAGATGAAGTGGTCTGGGTGCGTACAGAGTCCCTTTAATGCTAACACGTTCTAGTAAGCCTTTGACGGAAGACCCTTGTTCTCTTTTAGGTCAGGTTTACTCAAGGCTATCAGTATAGTTAGGGAAATCAGCAGCCTATTGTCTCTGTATTCCTTCCACCCTGATATTCTAGTGGCTGGCAGAGATGTAAAACATTACATAGTAATTTATTTCAGCCTTGTCTTCACCATTGATAGCTTCACACTGGTTACTGAATAGCAGCATTGACATCTATAGTAAAGCCTCTGTCTAATATTTGCTTATCTCTTACAGTAGAATGTGTCCCTCTTGATGACATATTTATCTAGTTATTTAATTCAAGTCCCCAGCTCTCATGGAATATTTTGAGCTGACGAATACAGAAAATTGTATCTAGTTATTGAGTTCAGTCGTAAATTAATGAAGTCAGAGGGTGAATTGTCTGAGAATCCATCAGAAAGTGCATTAGATGAGCTGAACAGCATTATATTTTAGAGTCTGTAAGATACAAACAAGCTCCTGAGCAAGAGATATATGTTTGTGAAATATAAAGGGATCCAATGTATATCATAATCACTTGCTTAATTTATACATAATATAGGTTTTCAAATATATTTTCCCTCTGAATTTAATACTTTTACAAGTGTAAAGAGAATCATCCTTACAGTTACATAAAGTGATCTGGTCCACAAATAACAGTTTGCGTTTCTTAACCCCTTTATTAACAAGTTATTTTCAGCTAGAGGAACCTGCTTAATTTTCATTTCTTTATTTTCTAATTTCGGTTTGTTCAAAATTCAGAAAACGTTGATTCGGATGAACAAAATTTTGTGCAAAATTGTTGTTCATTTTTAAAGTTTGGATGTCCATTATTGCCTATGTGGAATTAATAGAGGTGGTAGTTACAGAGTACAAATTTGGGGATTTTATCTCTTAAACATGGCTTTCCAACCTAACGGTACCAATTTTAGTTAAGGAGTTAAAGAACGGAACGATCAAAATGATGGAAAGCCCTTTTCAATTTTGCTTGTTCAATTATTTAGTAGATTGCTCTCTAATTTGGCAGCCTTAAATATTGGCAATCCCACGTAAATATCACAAATTAGGGAGTTATATATTATACAGCTGAGAGATCAAAATGAACAAAGCCCATATTCTTAATTTTGCTCTTTCAGTTCAAAAGTAGATATCTCCCCAATTTAATACGCACAAATATGGAGTTTCCAAATTAGGGAGCTATCTGCTAAACAGATCAAAGATCGAAACCCATTGCAGGCGCCTAATGACATCCACAGGTGAGTGTACGTAGCAATTGATATGGTGGAATTGTGCAAAATCAACAATCCAAAACTAAAGACTAGATTTTGTTATAAAAGGTATGATCATGTAATTTTATAATTACTATAGATGTGTGGTTATAACTAATTGTGGAAATGATATCCATCATATAAAACACCATATTTTTAATGTTACATTATAATTACTGCTCTATTATGTCTCTCTTGACTGCCAATCAGTAATAAATTAGACATTTTTTTTGGATAGCTACTTGATTTCGTTTTTTTTCCTGAAAAAGCAAACCATATAAAAAGGCTGTCATTGTATCATGCATTATTTATGGATAGTGTTTTTTAAAATAAATACATTATTCCATAGCACCATAAACCCAGATTCCAGTGTCCATTTCCCCCAAAAACTAAGTAAATTTATTGTCTTTTTAAAAAGTGAGCTGACAAATGAAGACCAGCAGTGAATGGGTTATATCTGAAAGCACGATTGCTTTTTCACTCTGTATTAAATGTCCCCTCTCGTTTGTAATTCTTGCTTTTGATTTGTCGCAATGTTGTATAGGATCAATATGCAATATCTAACTGCACATGTTTGTTTCCTAGCAACTAAACACCCCAAAAAGGACCTGTAGGTAGCTATTGGTTTTCAGAAACCATTTTTTCCTCCAAGGCTATAACATAAGTTAGAAATCTGGTATCTCCCAGCATAATTAATTACAACTTTAAAAAAGACTCCTCAAGCTCCCTTCTGTAAATCCCTACACTTGTTAATCTAAACATCTACACACATAGTAACTTGCGGATGGATGATCCGTTCATTGGAATAGGTCATGGTCTATAAATTGATGTTTAGCAAGTAGTTAGAACCAGAAAAGAGAGACAGGTTTAACATTAACATAGATATATTGTACAATGGAAGAATGCGAACTTCTAGTAAACTCTTAATTTTCTTTTAAATGATTTTTATTTAGAACATGTTATCCAACATATAAGGAACTTGAGAATATAAAATGCCATGTTACTGAAGAAGTGAAAATTTCTAATTCAGGAAAGGTAATTATAAATAATTGCATACGAAATCCAAACAAGTCTGAGTATGAGGGCTCATTATTTGACCTATAACAGTTAAAGGGACACTGTAAGTACTGTAACTGCTTCATTTCATGGAAGTGTTTATAGTGTATATAGCAGTGTTAATTTTGTTGACTAACAATTTTAGTCAAAGTTTTGTAGACTATACATTTTGAGATTTAGTTGACTAAAACAATTTAGATTACTAAAATACGACTAAAACTAAAATGGCTTATTAGTCAAAAGACTATGACTAAAACTAAATAAAAATTTGCTGCCAAAATTAACACTGGTTTGTAGTCCCCTAGGGCTGGCCTCCTATTCAGTTTTAAACCGGTTTTAATGCTAGATGGGAGTCCCCACCAACCCATTCCCTCTGTGCTGCTGAGCAGCAATGGTTGGCTGTGAATGACTGAGAGGGTCAATGGACTATCACAGTGCCCATTATAGGTATGAATAGGTATGTCTAGAAGGAAGTGTGTGATCTCTGCATTAGCCGTACTTCTATTAGTGGTGGGGCTCTGCTTGAAAATAGTGTGACACGGAATGAAGAAAAAGTGCCAATGATGTGAAGTGATTAAAGTGCCTTTAG